TGCCCAGCAGGTGGTGCTCCACAGGATGGTAAGGGTCAGCCACAGCAGCATGGTTTCTGGCTCCCGTGTCCCAAGGCTCCTGGAAAGAAGGGACAGGACACCAGGCTCTCAGAGAAGGGCCCTGCCTGACCTGGTCGGCCCCGTCCATGGGAGGGGAGCACCGCCCTACCTGGCCAGAAAAATCTTGTCGCCCAATCCTGGCACTGGGGAGACTTGCGCCTAGGCACCCTCCACCTGGCCTTTTATACCCCAGGCCTTGTGGGCCCCCATCCAGAAGGAAGGAGAAGGGGACACCCCGAAGACAGATCGGTGGGGGCTCTTCCTGGGGGAGGCTCCCGGATGGACATGCTGTGTTTGTTGTCTTGGCCCCAGAGCTTGCGCAAACAAAACAGGACCAGAACATGGGATTTTGCTGTCACCTCTGAGCACCTGCACTAGACCTTGACTTCAGAGGTGTGGGGAGTTTGCTGACAGCCCTTTCCGGGTTTGCCAGACAGGTTTCAACCCCATGAGGCGCCATAGGTGGAATGTCCACGGTTCGTGGGGTCCAGGGCTCCTGCCTTGTGCACAATTGGATTGAGGACCTCATTCAGGTCTGGGCAGAGCCCATGGTCCCTTGGGCTTTCAGGAGTCCAGGTCAAGCTCCTCTCTCTGAGAGCCGGGGAGGACAATCAAGTTCTGTGTGTCTGGTGCGAGGTGTTGGCCTCCCAGGGTCTGTCACGTGGAAGCTGGCTGTGATCTTTCCTCTGTGCCAGGTCTGAGAGTAGCTGGGGATGAAAGAGCCTCAATGGGGTGTGGGGTGACCAACAGCAAAGGTGACATGACAGGAGGCACAGAGGATTGGGAAGATGTGAGTCTCCAGGCCAGCCCTTCCGAGAGGGCCTGTGGCCAGGCCAAGGGGTCAGACCTTATCTGGAGGTAATAGGGTACTTCCCAGGGTTGAGGGGATCCTGCTGGTGCAGCAAGTCTAGCTTTGTGTGAGGGCTGGACCTAAGGCTGTCCACAGGGCCTCCCCAACCTTTTGGAAGAGCCATAGGGTCATAGTCATCAAGATAGGGGTTGATGCCCTGGCCAGTGTAGCTCAGTTAGTTGGGCATTGCCCTCTGCACCCGAAGGTTTTCCGGTTTGATTCCTCGTCAGGGCACAGGCCCAGGTTTCGGGCTTAATCCCCAGTCGGGGGGATACAAGAGACAGCCGATCGATGTTTCCCTCTCAAATTGATGTTTCTCTCTCTCTCTCAAAATCAATAAAAAAAAAATCTTTACAAAAAATGATAGGGGCTAATTGTGGGCATGGGTGCTGGAGCCAGATCATGTCCAAATCCTGTCTTTTGTACTTACTAGTCATGGGATTTGGGGCGTGTACATGACCTCTGTGTGCCTTGATTCATCTGATGTGTACGGATAACAGTAGAACTGACTCACAGGATGTTGTGACAATTCAGCAAGATGCTTCTCCAGCTGAGAGCCTGAACACCGAAGACTTATGCCATGCAGGCAGGTGTACGAGGTTTTACTTTGCAGCATCCTTTGCAATCACAGATTCGAAACAGCGGACTTACACGTCTAGAGGCAAACCTATTAAATAAATGATTGTGTCATCTATGCAGGGAAATACAGTGGGGCCTTGACTTACGAGTTTAATTCGTTCCGTGACAGAGCTCGTAACTCAAATTACTCCTATGTCAAATCAAAAGTGAATG